GGTGGATGAATGGATGGATGGACAGATGAGTAGATAAATGAATGGGTGGGTGTGTGGATAGATGGATGGATGATGGATGGATGGATGGATGGATAGGTAAGTGGGTAGATGGATGAGTGGATAAATGGATAAAGGATGGATTGATGGAAGGTGGATGGGGGAATGAGTGGGTAGATGGATGGATGGATAAGTGGGTGGGTAGATGGATGGATGAATGGATGAGTGGGTGTGTAGATAGATGGATGGATGGATGGATGGATGAGTAAGTGGGTGGATGGATGGATAAGTGGGTAGATGGGTGAGTGGGTAGATGGATAAATTGATGGATGGATGGAGGGTGGGTGGGTGGGTGAGTGGGTAGATGGATTGGCAGGTAGTAGTGGGTGAGTGGGCAGATAGATGATTGAACATCACAGTTCATCTTAACACAATAGTCATTACTATTGACAGTAACCATTAACTCATGCCTACTATTGTGATCACAGACATAATTGCTGCTAACAATTCTCATAGCTCGTGCTGTCAGAGATGTAATTATCAGTGCCTGTAAGCCACGCCGCAGGTAGCAGGGGGATAGACAGAAAACAGCACCTCAGGTTTAAAAAGTCCCTTGTGGTTTGAAAAACACTTTGGTTCACATATGGTACTTCATTTAAGTCTCATAAGAATCCCTTGAGGGAGATTCACCATGGGAGGCCCCAAAGCATCCTGGCTAGGAGTAGGTCCCTGGAACCAGACGGCCAGGGTTTAAATCCCTCCACCGCTACCAGGCCATGGTGACCTCGGCTAATTTGCTGCACCTTTCTTGGCCTCTGTTTCTGCAAATGTGTGGAAATAACAAGACTGTTTCATAAAATGGCTGGATGTATTAATAGGAATCACAATATTTACCGAATGCTTACCACATGCCAGACTGGGTTATAATCATTTTACATAAAACAACTCAGTTGAGCCTCATAACTCTGATGAGCTAGATAGTATTGTTTACCTTCCCCTACTTTTTTTTTTCTGGTTGTATACAAAGTATATTCACACCATTCATGTATTCATATGTGTACTTAGGGTAATGATATCCATCATTCCACCATCTTTTTAACCTCCTGCTCCTTCCCTTCCCCTCCCACCCCTCTGCCTATCTAGAGTTCGTCTATTCCTCCCATGCTCTCCCTCCCTACTTCACTATGAATAAGCCTCCTTGTATCAGAGAAAACATTAGGCATTTGGTTTTTTGGGATTGGCTAACTTCACTTAGCATTATCTTCTCCAACTCCATCCATTTACCTGCAAATGCCATTTTATTGCTGAGTAACCCTACATTTTTTTTTTAGTATTTTTAGTTGTACATGGACACAAAACCTTTATTTATTTATTCTTATTTGGTGTTGAGAATCAAACCCAGGGCCTCACACATGCTAGGCAAGCGCTCTACCACTAAGCCACAACCCCAGCCCCCTCCCCAGCTTTTTTAAGATAATGAAAGCAAAATTTATTTGCTTCCCGTTCTACTGGGAGGTGAAGAAACTGAATTTGAATCCATATATTGTGGTTTCCAGAGTCCCTACTCTTTATACCTTACAGTAGCATCTCTGAAAGAAATGTCCCTGGAAAGCATTTAGAGTGCCCGACTCCTAACAGATGCTCAATAAATGCTCGCCGCATGCCACTAATTTAGTAGTATTACATGTTAGCATCCCCAAACTGCAGATGCTGAAACTAAGACTCAGGAGAAGCTGGGTGGCTAGCTCAGGATCGCAGACTGATCTCCCTGCTCCATCAGGAAGGTTAGAGTGAGTCTGGGGGTCGCAAATGGTCAACTGGCCTTGCTTTCATCTGGCCCACACTTATTGCATATGTGCTGAGGACTGAGGCCTCCTTGGGCTATAGGTCAGTTCTTTCTGGATTGAAGGTCTAAGTCTCCTCAACTCCCACTTGTCCCCGAGAAAACAAAGGCCATTCTGGAAGGCTTCCAGTCAGTCAGCCTCCAACAAGGGCTTTGCCTTCCCTGAGCATCTCAGACCCATCTCTCCTCTCATCCTGCTGGCCTGAAGGGGCCCTAACCTTGTTCTCTCCCTTCTCTCCTAATGGCTGTGCCCCTGTCTGCCACACTCTATCCTTGTCTTGATCCAGCCATTTATTTTTCCTTACACAGCTTCCTGAACTTACCCATAACTCATTCACACTGGTGGGTAGCGGGGGCGGGGGGGGGGGGGGTTGGGGGGGGGTGGTTCTACTTAACACAAAAGCCCCTGCGCAAACTTTGAGTTGGGCCCAAGGCCTCACCCCACCCTGAGAAAGGAGCCCATGTGCTCTGATAGATCTCCCCTTGCAGCAGATTCTAGACTGGGGATGGGGCACGTTAAGGACCCTCAAAGACTTCTAGAAAAAGGAAAGGAGCATCTCACCCAAATCCAAACACCAACACTCTCTCCAGAGAGGCTCAGGGTGCTGGAACAGGCTTCAGTTAAACCTTTCTTATGGGATGGTAGAAAAGAGTCCAAGGCCTCAAATCCAAAAGACCTTTCACTCCCTGTCATTTCCGTGTGACCTTGTGCAAATGATTTCATTCCTAGGAACCTCATTGTCTTTGTCTGTAGAATGGGTATCATCACAGTATCCACTTTTCAGGGTCGTAAGGATGCAATGAGATTTTGTTTGCTTGCTTTTCATTCATTCATTCATTCATTCAACAATTATTTATTGGGCACTTTTGAAGAACAAGGTACTTTTCTAGTCAGAGCAGCACATATTATACTGACCACCTGCCCCCTGAGAATTTACCTTCAGTGGATTACACTATATGAACAGGCACCTTTTTCTTTTTGTGCTGGGGACCAAACCCAGAGCCTCGCACATCCTAAGCAAGGACTCTATCACTAACTACACCCCAGTCCCCACATGGATGAGGCAACATGCAGAGCACACAGGGCCTGATTCGTTGTACATGTTTAAGAAGTGGGGAGAGTGGAACTGGATTGTTGTTCTTCAGGGATGTACTTGGCCACACCCCACCTCACCTGTTCTGTTAGGGTCAAAGTTCATGAGTTCTGGGAACAGTGTGTACTCCAGTGGCCAAGTTGGGAACACTTCTTGCATAATTGGAAGGGGGAGTACCAAGCACACCGTATACTTGATCTCTTCTTGAGGCAGTGTGTCCATATTGTGGTCTACTCCATGAGATACTCATTGGTCCCAAATGAGCAGGGGGGACTGCTTCTTCCTGCATCCCTGAGTAAAAGTGCTCCTCTGTAAGGTGTGGCAGTTTCTTCTAAAGCCTCCAGCACCTCCTGACCCTTGGCTGGGAGGCTGCACACCCTGGATGAAAACAAAGTGGATTTTAACACAGTTCATTATCCCCAGTAAATTGAGAGGCAGCCAGGGGACAGAGGAGAGTGACTATTATTATCCCCATCTTACCGATGAAGGAGCCTGGGCTCCAAAGTGAAGGGACTTGCCCAGGGACCCACACCAGGATGTAGGAGAGCTCAGATTTGAATGGGGACTGCTCCGATTCCAGATCCTGTGTCTTAGCTGCAGCCTACACAGTGCTCCCGCCACCCGGGCACTTCAGAGAGAAAGAAGGTTGCTTCCCAAGGGAGAGGAAGAGCCCGGGACTAGCAGCCAGGAGACCACCCCGCTCTCTGGGCTTCTCCACTTCCTTGTTCTCTATAGCTCAAGACAGTTTCCTTTCACTCTCCAAGCTTCGGGCACCCTCTGGGAAAGTTAAATGACCCAAATGCTCAGCTCTAAAATGTGTGCAAGAGGGAAGGATTGTGAGGAGCACTGGGGTCTAGAGCTGGGTCAGGGGACTCAGTCCTCTCTTCTTGTCCTGGACCCCTTCCCCCTCTTTATCCTGAGCCCAAGATGGCCAGCTGTCTGTGGCTGGGCGGGGCGGGTCCCTGTGCCAGGCTCAGCCGAGCTCAGCAGGGGCCCTTTGTCACCCAACGCTTGCCGGGGCCTCGGTCGCTGGTGTTGGGTGTCTGGGCAGATTGGATTCTCTCCTGGCAGCCCCACAGATGCTGCACTCCCTCAAGGGTGGCCTGGCGGGCAGGGAGAAGCCGGCGGCCGGGCTCCCTCCTCCTGTGCTCCTGAGAGGGACAATCGGCCACTGTCCAGGGTTCTGATGTGAGGGGGTTCCAGGTGAGGGCTCCTCCGTGACCAGAGCTCATACGAGGGACCAAGCTCGAGGCTCAATTCTGTGCCTCGTGAATATATATGACAAGCTTCTCTAGCCAGGCCAAGGGCCCTGATTAACGTGGTTGGGGGCTGTGGGCGGAGGTGGGGATCTTTTCTCCTTCCCTGTGCCTATGAAGCCCAAGTGGGGAAGGAATGTGGGGAGAAGAGAATGTACTATGGGCAGAGGTGGCGTGGATGGGAGTGGTCATGTGTGTGTGTCCAGAGGCCTGTGTTCCTAGGGAGAGGGAGGGCATGTCTCAGATTTTGTGGGGCTGGGATGTAGGTAAACAAGCATAGTCAGAGAAAAAAGGAAATGGGGTCTGGTGTGCACACAGCGTTTGGTGGGGCAGGGGTGGGGATATGAAGTTGTATGCCTAGAAGTGTGACAGTGTGTGACAGGGTGGGGCTGTTCCTCAGAGTGGTGTGAATGGGGGGCCTGTGTGTTGGTGCGTGTGTCTGGCAGTGCGGGGGGGCTAGGAATATGCATTTTGGGTGTTGCATGGCAGACGGTGTGGGCACAGGGCTGGTCGGAACTCAGCGTGTTACACAGCATGGAAAATTGGAGATCAGGGTGTATTATGAGGCTCTACCAGGCTGTGTCTTGGGCTGCCCTGTTGTAGGGCATTCGATGGGTGCTGCTAACCATTCGGGTGTACAGCGTTGCTAGTGGGTTGGGAGTTGTTGAACTAATGCCTGAGTGAGAGTGTATGTGTGTGTGCTCAGCGTTACTTGGGGCTATATATGCACACCCACAGCCTGGATTTTACTGAGCACCTGTCTCAGGAGGACTCCAGTGCCTGACCCCCCCTCTCTGCTTGTCCCCACAGGAGCCACCACCCCTGACCATGTAGATGCCAGCTCCAGGTAGCAACATGGACCCCACTGAATGGAGACTCCTGGGTCTACAGCCCTGAGCCCCTCTGGCCCCTGGACCTTGCCCCCCACCTGGGGACACACCTTGGAGCTCACCACTGCTGTCGCCAGCCCTCCTCAGCCACCCCCTCCCCCTGGGACCCGGAGTCGGCCACCTGGAGCTGCAGCTGTCCAGTGAGGGTGTGCTGAGGACAGCCACACACAGCCATCACCCAGAAGCCTCTTGTCCAGTGCTGACCTTTGGGCCCACCCTGAGCAGGGACTTCAGCAAACATGGGTGATATGACCAACAGCGACTTTTACTCCAAAAACCAAAGAAATGAGTCGAGCCATGGGGGTGAGTTTGGGTGCACGATGGAGGAGCTCCGCTCCCTCATGGAGCTGCGGGGCACAGAGGCTGTGGTCAAGATCAAGGAGACCTACGGGGACACTGAAGCCATCTGCCGGCGCCTCAAAACCTCACCTGTGGAAGGTAAGTGTGGGAGACTTGAACCCGGGGCTGCAGGCCCGGTGGCCACTGAGTTGGCACCAGGAACTCTATTCAAAATATTTAGTGGCAGAGATGTGTCAGAAATGGGCTGAAATTGCCAGAATTGCCATTCTAATGTGTTCTAGCTGGGCGTCAGCCACTTTGGAGAGGCCAGGGGAAAGAGCGTCATCATGGGTTAGTGTCTGACCAAACTCCAGCAAGGCCTGAGCTACTGGAAAAGAGCTGGGTTAAGACCGTGTTCTAGGCAGAAGGTTCCATCCCAAAGAGGTGGAACATCACTACTGCAAGGGGTTAGGTTCCTCATCCCGGAAGCCCTAAGGACATCCAGTCTTCAACTGGGGCAGGAGGTTGACTGGAAGGGACCAGGGTGGAGCCAACCTTGCTTACCTGCATCCAGGCCCAGAAGAGACTCCTGCTTCCTCTATTCAGCCACACTGGTTGGATCTGGAAGCCCAGCCCCCAGACCCCTACCCCAGACCCTAGGAATGCCCTCATCTGGGCTTGGGCAGGAACCACAGCATTGCAGGTGCATCCGGTTCCAGCTGCCCAAGGGAACCCTGTGGCCAGGCTGAAGTCACGTCCTTCTCTTGCAAATCCAGATTCCAGTTGGGGATGGCTGGAGATCTTGGGGCCGCTGTGGACTGTGGGACTTCTGGGCAGACAGGGCAGCAAGAAGATGAGCCATAATAGGCAGGGTGACAGATTTCCTTGTTTGTCTTTCCCTGAGGGTGAAAGTGGAGTTTTCTTGCAATTGTCAAAATAAGCAGGCTTGGGATTTCCAGAGAGAGGCTTTTAGCTCCTAGGGCTTTTCAGGAGGGGACCAAAGGTCCCAAAGGCATGGGTCCAAGGCCCTGCCCGACTCTTCCAGTTCTGTGACTTTGCACAAAAACTGCCCTGAGCTTGGTCTGTTCTCTGTAACATGCAGTCAATGCCTCCTACACTGTGCTTAGTGCAGGCCCAGGTATACAGTAGGTGTTCAGTAAGTATGATTATTCTAGAAGTGGATAACAGTCTCTCCCCCAAATGTAGATCACACCTGAATTGGAAGCAGACAGCACCTGGATTGGAGAAATCTGTCCCCCAGTCCCTATGCCTGGGTACTGCTGACCACTAATCCTGAACTCGTTTCTGCAGAGGCTGCGTCACGGGCCCTGCTGCTCAGCTGGGGCCCACCAGGGCCAGCCAGACAGTGCAGTGGCCACACATGCCTACACCCTGCCACACCCTGCATCTCCTGGATGTCTGTGGTCAGGAGGCAAAACTAAGACCTGTTCTCATATTGACTGCTCTCACTGAGACTGTGCCTGTAGGACGAGCCCAGACAGAAGTTTAAAAGTGAATCTCCTCCCATGGTGCTGTTTGGTCAGTGGGAGGGGAGGGAAGAGGGAAACATCGATTCTAACTCAAGGCCTGAAGATGGACGCTTGTGGCCCTAAGATGGGCACAGGTTCTACTGGAGGGTCCTGGGTCCCAGTCTTATGTGACCACAAATCCCTGGCAGAATGGACCATGCTCATCCCACCATCAGGCGGCACCCTGGCCTGCGAGGAGGCAGAGCTGCCTGAGCGGCCTTTGCCTCTTGACTGGGAACCAGGATATTCCCTTGAGTCAGAAATTCTTGAATATCTCTGGGTCCCAGCTCTGGGGAAGAGCTGAAGGAAGCTGGGATCACTGTCCCCAGGAACAGCCACTGCCTGCCACAGATGTGGCTTATACTGTCAGGGGGCTTCCACACCCGCTTGAAACTGGGCCGTGGACTCCAAGAAACCCACCCTCCTCTCCCAGGGAATTGGGCAGTACATGGTCAAAGTCCAGCCCTGTGCAGAGCCAGTGCCAGGTGCCTTCTTGGACACCACCCCCACTCCCCTGCCGGGGAGAAGAAGCACCCACAAACCTGAGGGGTGGGCCCTGTTTGCTCTCTATTCACTCAGCACCCGCCTGTGCCTGATATAGGAAGGCTCGTGAAGTACCCGGGAAAAACCTAAGATGCGGCCACCGAGTCCCCAGCCCCTGGGAAGCAGCTCAGGCAGCTGATTGACCAAACAGCAGACCATGGGGACCAAAAGCAGCAGGGACTCCAGGGCTCACAGGGAGGTGAGGCAGGTGGGCAGCAATGGTCAGAGGAGGCTTCCTGGAGGAAGAGGTGTCCATGTTTGGCTGTGGAAGAAATAGAAATAAAGCCTATAGTGTGATCTAGAGCAGCCTGTCGTAGAATTCTGCAGCCTTCTGGCGTGCTCAAGAAATTCCTCATTACGTAAAAGCCGATGGAGTCAATTTTGTCATCTGTAAAACTAAAAGAATGACATCTCTGACTTGCTGTGCCTCCTGCCAGCCATGTACCTCTGGGCCTTTGGTCTGACCTCTCTGGACCTTGGTTTCCTGATTTCTCATGAGGACCAGTTGAGATCTCTGAGAGGAAGATCTTTAAGGAGGAAAGTCCATTGTAGGATTAGCTCAAATTCCTGCTGTCTTGGTCTCTAGAAGGATCTCCAGGATATGGCAGGGGTAGAGTGGGAGAGATCTGGGGAGCAGCAGAAGAGCAGAAGGCTCTAGATCCCAGACATGGATGGACTGGGTTCAAATCCCAGTTCTGCCACTTGTCCACTGTGGGTCTCTGGGCATGTTCATCAAACTCTCTGTGCCTCCGCTTTTCATCTGTAAAATGGGGATAACAATAGTGATGACCTCCCAGGGTCGTGGTGAGGACAAAGTGAGGTGGCTTGGAGTCGTGCAGACATGTCGGTGGTTCTGTGTCAGGATTCAGCCTCAGAGAATAGGCACCTCCATCTCCCTGTCAATAAGATGCATTGTGCATGTTGAATGAGACTAAGCCGAGTGCCCAGTGTCTGTGTGCCCGCTATGTCAGTCCTCCTTGTTATCATCCTGGGAGTCATTATTCTGGAAGAAGCAGTCATAGTCCCCAGAAAGGGTGCAATGTGCCTCTTCTGGATCCCTGGTCTTCATGTGGAGCAACACTTTGAATTAGACTAGACTGCTCTGCTTCCCTCATGACGCATGCTCCTGAAAGCAGGTGTGTTTTTTTTTATTGGTTACTCAAAACATTACAATGATCTTGATATATCATATTTCATACATTTGATTCAAGTGGGTTATGAATTCTTATTTTTACCACGTGTACAGATTGCAGGATCCCTATTTTACAAATGAGGATCATGAGGGCCCAGCAGGCTCCACACAACTCAAGCTGAGCATGTCCACCTGGGAACAGTCCTCTCTGGTGTCCACTATTGAGGCAGCCCTGAGTAGAAGGGGGTCACCAGGGACACTTTTCCTTACCTTGACTCTTATATCACCCTGTTTGAGCCTCCCACCATTTAAAGAAATGCTTAGCCTCCAGTCTCAACTCTGACTTAAAAGCCAGGTAGTCTGGGCTGTGCTGGCTCTGGCCACTCCCGACACCCCGTCACTTATCTGCTGATGTGAGTCCAGAATTGGCCTCCAAGTTACTCATGTTGCAGGAAGCTGCTCAGGCCCTGCATAAATTAGCCGTCCCTTCACATCCAGCTAAATTTAGGCAGAAGCCACATCCCACCCATGGCACTGCCTGTTGCACCAAAGGAATTGGGCCCAGCTTCCCCAACCTGGGAGCTGTTGGATTTTCCACCTGGGGGCCTGACTTGGGTGATGCCTGTTGGGTAACCCTGGCCCGCTCTGCCCTATCTGCGCACCTTTCCTTCCTCATCTACTATGGTTCTGATTGATGTCTTTCCCTTTTCACCTTCTGTTCCCTTTCCTTCCACACTCTTCCAGCCTGGGGCAGTAAAGTCGCAGTCTTGAGGGGCTTCTCTCTGAGGGGCACTGAGAGAGTAAAATCCAAGCTCTCTGGGCCCCAGCTGACATCTCTGTGAAACGGGGATGATAACAGTCCCTGCCCAGGCGACCAACAAGGCGTGTTTATGAAGCTTGTTCCTATTACACCCAAACATTTCTTTGAAAAACAAAATGCCTGGGTCCCACCCCCATGAAAGAGGCCATCAGACAGTGTTCAGTGCAGGGTCACGGTGCTCTCAGTGGCACAAACATGGGTGGCCGGTTTGGGGGCCAGTCCCCAGAACCTACTTCAGTGCCCAGGGGCATAAGAAGGATTCATAGACAGAAGGAAGGAAGGAAAAGAGAAAAAAAAGGAAGACGGGGTGTCCTGGCATGTCTTGCTGCCCAGGACGGAAGCTGCAGGCCAGAGACAGGACACAGGACACCCAGTGTCACCCACGGGACAGTTGGCTTCAGTTCCCCAGGCCCCGTGTGGTGCGGCCCTGAGCCACACAGCTGGGTGGCCCTCGGCCTTCACTTCCTAAACTTGCACCTTGGGCTGTCAGGAGGGATGGCTCAGACAGGGCCCTGTCAGGTGTCCACCACTCTGTTTCCCGCTGGGGATGATCAAAGGGTCAAAGAAGACAGGGCAGTGAGGGGTGGGTGGGAACTGGATACTGCCGTGTGTTGCGAAACGGAACCTCTGGTTAATTTTGCATGAATCCCACAGCTGCCCAGGTGAGGGGGGAGAGAGAAAGGGGTTCGGCCTGGGCAGGAGGCAGAGCACAGACGGTGGCTGCTTCGTGTCACATACGCTATTAAAGGAGAATGCCCCTTAGGCCGGCAGCACCCCATCATCCACGTACCCTGGCCAGCTGGGCACCAGGGAGGCTGTGGGGCAGTGAGCCGGGACCTCTGTGTGCACAGTTCTCCATGTTTTCTGTCTCCCCATGGACCACTGGGCCCCTGCAGGGTCCGTGGGGAAACCAGCTCTTGGCTCAGCAGGTCCTGCATCTCAGCTGAGATACAGCCTCTAGGTAGGGAAAGGGGAGGACTCCTCCCCACTCCCTGGGGGCTCCATATAGAGTGGCCCAGGCTCCTTTCTAAGGCTTTGAACTCTGTCAGATGTAAGGCCTGGGGGGAAAATGATTCTCCCACGTATTTCAGAGGCTGAGCAAACCTAGCCGCCTTCTCAAATCAATGTGGGGGTG